GTGCGTTTATTTGACGCTGCAAGTGTGTGTATGTGATGTGTGCCGCGCGCGCTACGCAGGCCGTATATACTACGCGATCGATCAATCGTGTACACATCAAAAGCCGCCGCGTCACGCGTGACCTTGAGGCTCGTTTTATGAAGTAGCCGGCCCAGGCTCTGCGACTGTTTCACGTGGTAGGAAACGTAGGTACGAACTGTTTCACTTCTTGCCAAAAAAGTTCTGTTTATAATACATATATTGTATATACAATACATTACTGATTATATATATACATAATTATATATATATATATATATATATATATATATATATATATATATATGTATATATATATATATTTACCTTTGAGCAAACATACAGGCTGGCTGCAACCACTGCAATGTTACCGTAGCGATGCACACCTCAGCTCTCACAAAGAAAACAAAAGAGCACTCACAGACTTTTCCCGTGGCCTGGAACACACAAATAAAACGGACTAAAAAAACAGCAACAGCATAACCGCGTGGGCAGTCGGTTATTCACAATGAGGTATGACACCACTGCCAACGATAATGTTTCTGAGCGGATAGCAGCTTTTCGCAGGACAGTCACAGGTATTTACTCGCACAGTGCTAAGAGGACCTACGGCATCGGCGTGAAAACGGATTGCGATCTGGCTCTCCCTTGCATCCGAGTTCGGCAGAGGGACACCCTCCTGCGCCGTCACATGGCTCCAACTTCCCTTCAGCTCCCTCGTCTTCGGACAGAAGAAAGAATGACCGGCGTCCATCTCCCAGACGAACATCTGGCCAGCAGAATCCACGATGACCACCTCCGAGCCGGCATCCGAGATCGCGATCCGAGATCGAACGCTACCTGCGTGTCGTTAGCGTTTGGTTAGTTACGTGTGCGGTTACCGCGATAACGATAATTCACACTCTTAATAACTGAGGAGGAAAATTCACCCTCTAAACCTTTGTTTACGGGCAGTGACAGTGGACATGTAGATACTGCTTTCAGGAATACCTTGCAATGCAGGAGTAGTCAGAAGCTGTTCTGGCAGGCACTGGATGACCTTCAGAAGGTTGCTGTCTTGATGCCACACAAACACAATCCCCGACCCCTGCAGACCGACCATGAACTGTCCTGCAACACACACACACACAAAGTGTTTGTCAAACACACCACCCACTCAACCGTGTACAAAAGAGTCCACATATAAGGTACAACTTTAGCGCAACCTCACAGAACTATCATTGGTGGGTGATATCAGCACCTACCCAACGACTTACAAAGTGTGATAACACATAGTGTTCGTTATACATGCAGTGAGTCTTGTACATCGTGACAACTATTTCTCCCCGAAGAAGTGAACCAGACAACGATAACAACAACAAAAACTCTTTAGTTGGTGTGCGGGCCAGTATCAAGTGAGGGAAGAATTGTCTGGAATTATGTCAAAAAGGAAGTATAAATCATCACTGGGTGAAGCGATAATTAATATTCCTTGCTATTCTTTACAAAAGTAGTACAGCCCACAGTTAACATGAAGGCAATATGGCTTAATCATATTAAAATATAGTACAGCCTACCATTGTGGGAGAATGCGTGCATGCTCACAGTTGGCAAGATAGTGTGCAACTTGGAGATCTTGCGTTTTGTCTTTCCAGATGGTACATAGAGGACACTGAGGCGGTGCTTGTCCACTAGGAATAGATTCTCCCGCTCCTGTGCACATCAAAGTATTTGTTAGAAGCAATTGATAATTGCCAATACTTTACCCTTAATCGTAGTTGCTGCATCACTACACCCAACAGTCTGTTATAAATATAAGTGATAAAAAGATCAGAGACTGATCCAAACAATTGATGGGGTTTGAATATCACGAATACCTTTCCTAGCCATGCAAGTTGAGGCCATGGTTTCTTTCTCCTGATAGATGTGGATGCAAGAACCTCCAGGCTAAGTCTCATACTACCTTTATTGGTCTGGCAACATGGTATTTATACCTAGTGTAACAATGGAGATAGTGTGTAAACGCATGAATTGGATTAGCTCTAGTACTATAGCCCGCGTTCATTAACTGCCGCAGGGCAACGCCTGCGGCAGTTAATGAACCCGGGCTATAGTACTAGAGCTAGACATAGATCTACAAAATATTTTCAACATGTGTCATCTTCAAAAGATCAATTGACGTTTATCTTTTCCATATCTGTTATTTCATTATATTTTTTCTTGAAGTTCTTCTCTGGTTAATTGTAAAATTGAACCCTTACTGCAAAATCATGCAATGTTGATCCATCAAATTTATCAACTTAAGTTCTAGGCCTATTTGAAGTATTTCCTGTGTCTTCGGTATATAGTCCCATGGACCTTTAAGCAGGGCTCAATTTTAACAGTCGTCCGGTCGTCCGTGACGACTGGATTTTCTCTCGGGCAACTACAAATTGCTTCCGTGGTTGTCCGGTGTCCAACCTCTATAAAATCCATAACCTGAGCTCTCTATACCAGTGTTGGCGGTACACGTACAGTATTCAGGTATTTGAAATCTGGTATCCCGCCGAAAGATCTGGTATCCCTTTTTTAGATAGTAATTTCAACAATGTTATTGTTGGTATCCAAAACTTTGAAATAAGCAATAATGACGGTGCGCGCTTTTTCTCGTTCATCGCTCCTGGGCGAGCGATCGCTCGCGGGCCACCAGCGAGCGCGCGTTCATTTTACATACGGCCAGGGTTGCACAATACGCTGCAAACGTACATGTCTAGACGCATTGTCTGGCTTGCTTCATACAATGTATAACATCACGTGTATGTACATGTATCGCGCGCACTCGCTCTACGCCCACTCGCTCATTTGTAATTCGCCAGCCAGTTAGTATAGTATAGAGATCAGTGGCCTCAATAATGTACATGATTAGGCCTTTTGCTTTACAGCACTGAGCATCACGTGAGCAGAACGCATGCAGCACATGTTTAAGTAATATCCTGACAACCAAAACTCTTGAGGACAACCATATCGGCATATGCTACTCTCTTGGTTGTCCGGAGCCAAAAAAAACCTTAAAATTGAGCACTGTTAAGACTAATATTTACGAGGTTAGGAATTTACCCGTGTAGTTCAAAGCTCCGCCACATCTCTGTGGCGAAGCGAATTGCTACCACCGTACGGGTAGATAGTGAATTATGACTCATTCCGTAAGCACGGTAACATGGACGGACTGAGTGACGAGTGTACTCGTAGGGCTACTACACGTCAGTGACAAGAGAATAAGTCAGGAATCTATATCCTTTACGATGTACAAACTGTAATCATAAGTACATTTCTACCTCATTTTGCTTCATTTCATTAGAATGTGTATTAACGTTAACAAAATTTGCTCGATTCTCGGCTTTGTTTTGATTTCCCCGCTGCCATTTTGCAAACAATAAACAAAAGACCATTCGTCTCGCACAGTACAAGATGCGCATGAGCGAAGTAAATCGTAAAGTGTTTTCTCACGCACGCTGATTTTGGTAAATTTATGTAGCAGTTAGAACAAAATCAACAACAGTGTGCTGTTAAAATATCTCGATCTGAATGGCCCAAGCTCAGGTCCGATGGCATATTCGAATTTCCCACACTGTAGGCTTACAAACCACAGAAATAGGTAGTTCACGATGGAAATAAAATCCGCTCTAAAAATTTCACTTTGGCAGCAGCATTCCGCCACAATCATTTTCCTATGCTAATACACATGGGGAAATGGCGCTCGCATCGCTGGTCGCGTTGCCAGGGCCAAGATAACGATTTTTGGCCAAACTTACGCCCTTAAAATGGGCAGGGTTATGCCCGGGAGAGAAGTGCATAGCAAAATCCTTTCTAAAAATGATACTTTGGCCGCAGCATCCAAACTCCACGACAGATGGCGCTCTCGCTCTGGCTCAATTCTACTGAGTGTAGGGAAGTGGTGAGTGTATTATCCTGAGTGTGGGAAGGGGCCACTGCATGCAGTTTGCGCAGCAACCCGCCACAATCATTTTCCTATGCCAATGCAGGCCCGTAGCCAGGGGGGGTTCGGGGGGTTCGAACGAACGCGCAG